TAAGGGAATTCCCTCTGTCGAAAAATTAAACATGCCGCCTCTTTGCAACTCATATTCTCCTAATCAAAAGTCGAAATTCTTAGCAAAACTTTTAAGAAAGTCCCTCTGTCGAAAAATTAAACGTGCCACCTCTTTGCAATTCATATTCTCCTAATCAAAAGTCGAAATTTTTAGCAAAACTTTTAAGAAATTCCCTCTGTCGAAAAATTAAACGTGCCACCTCTTTACAACTCATATTCTCCTAATCAAAAGTCGAAATTTTTAGCAAAACTTTTAAGAAATTCCCTCTGTCGAAAAATTAAACGTGCCACCTCTTTGCAACTCATATTCTCCTAATCAAAAGTCGAAATTTTTAGCAAAACTTTTAAGAAATTCCCTCTGTCGAAAAATTAAACGTGCCACCTCCTTGCAACTCATATTCTCCTAATCAAAAGTCGAAATTTTTAGCAAAACTTTTAAGAAATTCCCTCTGTCGAAAAATTAAACGTGCCACCTCCTTGCAACTCATATTCTCCTAATCAAAAGTCGAAATTTTTAGCAAAACTTTTAAGAAATTCCCTCTGTCGAAAAATTAAACGTGCCACCTCCTTGCAACTCATATTCTCCTAATCAAAAGTCGAAATTTTTAGCAAAACTTTTAAGAAATTCCCTCTGTCGAAAAATTAAACGTGCCACCTCCTTGCAACTCATATTCTCCTAATCAAAAGTCCAGATTTTAAGCAAAACTTTTAAGAAATTCCCTCTGTCGAAAAATTAAACGTGCCACCTCCTTACAACTTATATTCTCCTAATCAAAAGTCGAAATTTTTAGCAAAACTTTTAAGAAATTCCCTCTGTCGAAAAATTAAACGTGCCACCTCCTTGCATCTCATATTCTCCTAATCAAAAGTCGAAATTTTAAGCAAAACTTTGTCTAAAAATTTCTGCATATATGATTTTCTATTAGAAGAATATTATCTTAAAATAGTGCGTATAATTTTGATATACTTACCTTTTATACTTACCTTTTATACTTACCTTTTATCGTTACCTCTAGGCATTGATCTATTTGTAGTATCTGTAATTTTTCTTTTTTTTTTTGCATTTTACTTAATTCTAATTATTTATAGGAAATAAAATACTTACCTTTGATTTTTAAGAAATTACCTTTGATAAACTTACCTTTGATAAACTTAAATTTTTGAGATTGTTTTGAGGGAATGTATTCCTTTTGTTTACCTAAAATTAAGAATATGAATAATTCTTGACAATATGGAAAAATTATTAAAAGAGGTAAGTATATTAAATATGAGAAAAATTTCGCATATCGCTTTCGAAGATAATGTTCTTTTATTACGAAGTTGTAATTTTAAATAGAAATAATAGTTATTAAAATTTTTGTTTTTGCATTAGAGACATATAATTTCATATGAAATAGCATGCAAAATTTTTCTAATATTTCGATTTTCAAATATACATTTTTATACAACTTTATATACTTACGTGTGAATTATTTGCATACTTACATTTTATGATTGTTAAATTTTATGAACCTTGAATCATCTTCTCATCAATTTTCTTAATTTTAATTTTAAAGATATTTTCCTTTTACAAACTTATCTCTTATGATATAAGCCGTCATTTTTTTATAATACTATGCTGATAATTTTTTTTAATTGTAGATTCAGAAATATAGCCATATTGTTGATTTTTCTAATTATATGATTGACTTATTTACTTTCTCCATGCGTATAATTATTGTATACTTATAGATTACTTACGTTACTCCATAATTAATTATTATGAATTTATTTATAATTAATATTTGTAGATGTTTATATAAATTTAAATTTTATTCCCAACACTATTATCATAATTTCTTTTTTATACTGAATTGATAATGTATATAATACGAAAATAACAATAGATTTATTGTTCTGAAATTTCTGTTACATGAAAAAATATTACATGTCATATCTGTTCTAGACCTTGTAACACGATCATAACTTTCGAATTGTTATATTGCAGCCGGTAGAGCAATAAAATGTTCACGTGAATTTACCTGTTATTTGTTCCTATTTCTAAATTACGAGTTTATTACGAATTTCTATTCTTTATAGTACATTTTTTATTATGGCATAGCAGAGTTTCATGGCGAATATTTAACAAAATTGGGCACTTTCTTTTTTTTAAAGAAAAATAACAAATAAAACTCTTAAGTTTCGAAAACAAATTTGTTGTTATTGTATAAATTATATTTTGTTAATATTTAATGAATTGTATATATATTGTTATATTAGTATATACAATTGATTCTATTATATTTAAAATAATTCTTAAAGTTCAATAAAATGTGCTTGCAATATTATATTTTTAAATTTGTAACATTTTATATATTATATATATTTTAAAGAAAATAAAATTTTATAAAATTTCAATTTGAATATGAGATCATAATTAAAAGGAAAAATTAGAATTATAATATATATAATAATATATATTATTATAATATTGACATTATATGAATAACTTGCTTATGCCTTGATAGATTTGTATTAAGAAATTTCTATTGTATTACAAATTGCCTATATAATTGTATATATACATATGCACAAAAAATGATAAATTGATGAAAAATATAACATGTAAAAAAATATAGATTAAATAAAGTTATACCGTAGAAATCGAAAATGTAAATTGTTAAAGGAGAACGAACCTGAAATTAAACCAGACTGAATTAAACGAATGTTTTATTTGAGCTAGCAATTCTTGAAACGCACATAACTTTTCATTTCTTTCAAATAGGTAAATATTTTTAGCTATTCAAGTAAATTAACTGCAGTTGTCGCAAAATAAAGTTTTTTTTCTCTTTGATATTCGCTTTTGTTTTATTTTTCCTCATAAAAGATGGGAAAGAATTTTATTTTACGTAATATTGGTTTTTCTTTTCTTATTTTCTATATGCATCTATTTTATTTTTCATCACAAAGAGCATCTTATCTTATACAAAATTGATTTTTCGTTTAATGACTTTTTTTAAATATTCTCTTTGAAGAGAGAATCTTGGTCGATAATTTTATTAATTTATTACTTTAATAATACTTTAATAATTTATTACTTTATGCACAATATATTTATAATTGATTTCTCTTTAACATAATTTATTCTACGACACTTGATTATCACGATTCAATCTTTTGCGTTCGTCAATCAATCGTACAACTTCAACTCGCTCATGAATTCTCCATTAAAATTTTACATTAAAATTATAAAATACTATAAATATATAATATATCATCGTGGATAATAAATATGAGTCAAAAAGAATAGTAATTTTAATCAATCAAATGGAGAAAATAAAATATCGCGCAATAATATCATTTTGAAGAATAGAGAAAAATCTTACCTTGAAAAGTATCGATATGCCGAGATTCATGAACGGTTTTGTGAAGTCGATCACGCTTTCACGGGCGTAATTAATGGTCATCGAGCCAACAGCCAAATCTGCTTTCTGTGAATAGAAACGAAATTGATTACTCACTGGAAATAAAAGAAATTTATTTATACAGAGGAAAGTTATATGTTGTGAATATTACGATTAGGAACGTTGATCCACGAGTTTCGAGAGAAGGATGTTACAATGTATTTCAAAAATGAAAAATCGTGAAAGACGTAGATCAAAGTATCCAACTCGTATCCGATGAATGTGTGATGGAATCTATGATTCGAGATTCTGTGATTGCGTGTGCATTCTCCTACCTTTCTCCACGATCATTGATATTCCTATATCTAATCTAATCCTATGTCTAATTCTTGTGTTGGAAGCAGTGATGGTGCCAGTGTAACTGTAAAGTAACGTGCAATTGGTGCAGGATTCAAGGAAGCAAGGGGCAATCTAATTTAAAAATGTAATTCTACAGCTACATTAAAATCACCTCTATGGGATAATCGATATTCAATCTCTACGAAAAAAAAAAAAAAATCTTATTCTACTTCTTTTTTATTTATTTCAAAAGTCCATCGATGTCCTTGGAAACATTCAAAGAATTTTCCACATTGTCGATCCATGATGATTCTTGAATTTATCGAGAAATCTTTTCAACTCTAAAGCTATATTAAAAATCATTTTTATGGTGTACATATTACTATTATATTCGATTTCTATAAACAGGATATTTCTTTTAAGGAAAGAATCTCTATACAACAACTTGTGCAAGAACTTCTTTTTCTTCGTAAATTTTCCCCCTTAAAATATTTTCATTGTATCAATTCAAACTTTTAATTTATAATTATTATTCTATTTCTCATTTTAAACAATCTAATTCCCATTAATTTCCTCGAAAAATTTTCAAAAGAATCTCGAACATGGTCAGAGTCCATCGACGAATCGAATGATCCCTCGAATTCATCGAGAGAAATCTTTCCAATTGATGTCCCGTTTCACGAAAACGAAGAATCGCACGAACGAGGATTCGCCAGAAGGGCGAAAGATTCGAGGAACATTTTGGAAAGGAGGCAAAACGTTGTATGCATACACACGAAGTTGGTATACGTTATCTGACTGCTTTTTCAGCGTCTGGAAAAGCACTCACTGTGGCGCGGGGCACGCCACGGTAGCTAGGCAGATTTATTTCTGGCTGCGACTACTTGGAAACCGTGTATGCGGTCACGACCGATAAGGGTGAAAGAAACTGCTCCCACGTTTCGACTATATACATTCGTGGATTTGTTCATTTTTTTGCATTTGATCGACGATCAGTCGTTTCAAGGATTATTTTATTACGATGATCTAAATATGTCGCGATCCAATCCAAGTGACGGATTTGAATCAATAGCTCGGAATGTTACAGTGATGTTCTGATGGGAGTCATTCGCTTAAACCCATCGCTAGAATACCAATATATGTTTTAACTTATGTATCTATATTTGCCTCGAGATAAGCTTCACGACTAATGTAATGGGATCATTTGGAATTATTTCGAGTCTTTCGATTGTATAAAATATATTGTCAGATTTGTGATTCTATCACAAGAAAGAAATTATGATATACTTAATTTTATATTGAAATTTCAAATTCGAAATTTAATTCCTTAATTTTTGGTCGAATATTCATTGTTAATTTTTATCGTTATATATACTTTGCTGCTCATCCACTAACTTTACATTAAAATTCAGATTATGAAGTTACTTGAACTTAAGAATTAATCTCAGACAATTTGAATAATATTTACCACGCGAAGTTTGAAACATTCTTTCAAACTTCAAATGAAGTTCGGATCTTTTCAATCTCTTTTAACTTTTGAAAACCATATGAATTTGTATGGTGTGAATATAAATTCGTATGTAATTCGATCCAAACTCATAAATGTATATTAATATATTCAAATATATTCAAAATGAAATGAGAAGATAACACTAAGAAACGATTATTTAAATCAATTTTACCATAATTCTTCGAATCAAACTTTTCTCGTTTCAATTTCTTCACGTAGAATGATTGCCAATGATTGAGCTGGAATTTTTTCATTTCCAATCGATAACAGTTTTGTCAATGTACCGTCTTATTTCCATCTTAATTCCGATCGATCGATCGATCTTCGAATTGGCCTCGATCGACTTAAACGATGGAGATGACAAATAAATATCGAAGGAATTTCAAATGGAACGTTTAATCATTCGGCCATTCATCGAGCAATTCTGCAACGAACGCATTTATACGCGTATAATTTATACGACTGTATTTTTCTAGGAAAAAAGCATCATTAATCAAAAAAAAAAAAAAAAAAAGAAAAAAAAGAAAAAAAAGAAGAAGATAGATGTGTGCGTAAATTATACACACACGCACGCACACGCATACACATATCTATCGGTACTAAAGAGGAAAAAAGAATGACAGAAGTTGAATCGGTTATTCGTTATCGAATTCACAGAGTACCGCTTTTATGGAAAAATCGTGGTGATTAAGTCGCAGTTTCCCACCAACCCGACGTGAGAATTATTAATGATCATCTGACAAAATTAATAACACGACGTGGTATGATATAGAGGGAATCGCTTTGTACCAGCTGTCGTGTCCCAGCTGAGAGGAGAGGAGAAAAAAAGTAGCGGTTGCCGCAGGGAATTTCTCTTCGAGGTTCTTTGCGAGAACGCGGCCTTAAAACGAGTTTCGTTTAACCGTTAATTATCTTTGCTTGAATTAATTCTATCGCGAATTTCCATGTTTTAACGATGAAGTTTCTCGATTTTCTTTACTCTCGCACTTTCAAATCCCGATTCATTAATCTAGATCACACTTCCACGGATTATTGGAATAAATAATGTATTAAAGTACGCGTTCCAGATCAAACTTTCCCGAGTCGAATCATTGGATTGAATAATATATTAGATAAATATCATATACCTGTTACATAAAATATCATACATTATTTTGATCAAACTATCAAATTTCCGACATATTCATCAAAGTATTTGAAATATTAAAGAGTACAATATAGTCTCGTTATTGAAATTGTATTAAATTTTTAAAGATAATCTTATAGATACAATAAAATATCAAAAAAAGTATCAAAAAAATTATAAAATACATTATATTTTTCTATTTTTTAAACTTACGATTTAAACATTAAACGAAATACTATTTTCAAATATACTTATGAAAATATTCCAACTATCTATTTTATCTCGAACAATATATTTCGAATTTCCTTCAGTCCTGTATATTATCAATATTAAAGTGTTATAGTCGAAACTGCTTAAACTTTATTAAACAATAATAAACGAAAAAAAAGAAAAAGAAAGAAAATTTTTGTTCGAGTAAATGCGAGGAAATTATTACCGCGTTAATTTCATCGAAAACCGCGATATTAATTGTTCTATGGGATACCGCGAAAACCGTATTCATCCATTATGCATCGCGCGGGAAAGTACACATTCGACTTGAGCTTTGCAGAATACCGAATAGCCCGTTCCCGACGGTAGATTTATTGGAAAAGTTGTCCAGGAATTCCTCCTCGTTCAAACTTGGGTACACGTTGCATACACAGTTATATATATATATATACACATACATTTTTTTTTGACGACAGTTTTAATCTCATTTTTTTTTCTTTTTATCACTATAGAATTTCTGAAGCAAACGAAGCGGTACCAATTTGTTTTATTTATTTCGCGCGATTCAGCAAACATCGAATATACGTATTTGCGCATGCTTTCGTACATAAATATTACGTGGATACCTTAATTGTTAACAATTATTTAAAAAAATTATTTAAAAAAATAATTATAAAATTTAATGAATTTTATATATTTATTTTATTAAATAATGCGTTTTACCAGTAAAATGCAATGTTACACTCAATATAGAACTGCAATAATAATAAAAAATAAAGAAAATTTCTTTTTACTATATGTCCATCCTGTACTCTTATATATTCACTAATTTTAACAATCTGATTACCAATTTTTTCATTGTTTCGTGGACAATATTTCAGTTTGCAAAACTGTCCATAAATGATTTTCCAATTTCTGATACACTCCCCGTATACATCCTGCAACATTATTTCAATTAAAAGAAAAATTGCAATGGTAATAACAAATATTGCAAAGCAAAAAAAAAAAAAAAAAAAATTCGCACAATGTATTCGGTTAAAAAAAGAAAAGAAAAGAAAAAATCAGAATTTTCTATCGTTACTTCCCTCGAATTCGAGGTGCATCTATTCACGTACTCGATTAACTATCGTCAACAAAGACACGCGGAGGACGCGACGACACGTTCCATCGAGAGAGCGAGAGAGAGTTTGCAATGCAAATCAGGAGTCGATGCGACGGAACGGTTGGTGGAAAGGGTTCATGCACCCCGTTCCCTCCCCCCTCTGGCTATATAGATAGGTGCGAAAGCATAGTTTCGTGCCGTCACCCCCTTCAAACCACGCACGAACCAGGTAACGGCGTAATACGCGCGAACCCGATTGATTAAGTGAGGATTACGTCTAGCAGATCCCTGCCAACTTGGGAATCGAATGCTATCGAGTAATGGAGTTAGCGAATTAGCGTTATTACCAACTTGAGCGAAATTTCCACGCTTCGACAATTTCCCCTGTGAAATTTTCCATGGAAATTGTGCGATTTGCAAAAAAGACACGCGCTCCCATCGATGAATAAACGATTTAATAATAATAATAATATATTATGGAACAAGTATATACTGTAAAAAAAATATAGAATTAGTTAGAATGTAGAATCAATTGAGAAAAAGATATGTATATATATATCGAAATTATCGAGATTTCGATTTTCAAGTCAATAACGACAAGGAAATATCAGGAATATTTCTTGCAAACGCGAGGATTAAAATAATTAAATAATTAAATTTTTATACGGCGTATCTTGGTGAACTTTTATAAACTGAATTGAAATTTAATTAAAAAATTATTTTAATAAAAAATCGAGCAACGTGATGAAAAATCGAATCGTGAACAACCATGATCCATTTATATTCTCTAATTATTTAATTTAGAATAATGAAACTCTTTAATCTGCAGAATATACTTTCGATACTAACACATTTGTACTAACATTCATCAATTTATTAGCACAAATAACTCTCTCATTCCGTACATATATCACCATTATTTTTTATTAACTTTTCCATTTTTTATTTCTTTATTCCATTTAATGAGTAACGAGCCCCATCTTTTATATTCTCTATGTATATAAAATCGTAATATCAGTCTAGTAAAAAAAAAAAAAAAAAATTAAAAATATTATAATACATTAATAAATACATAAATTATTATATTTCCAATCATATATCTGTGAACAGATTAAATCTTCGAATCACAAGAGATGTAACCTAACTAAAGCGATATTTCATCTCTCGATCCCCTTTATATTCTCGATCCTTTGGTATCCTCGTCTATAGGGACACTTATCTCAGATAATTTTTGAATTCTTATATACTTACGAAGAGACGTGTACCCTCTCTTCTCGTGTTCTTCTTCTACAGACGTACGTCGAATACGTGGCACGAACTTTCGGCGCGTGTATTAAATTTCCGCGGAACTGTGACGTTTCGAGAATAGACACACTCACCTTGTCCATCAGCTGGCGCACTATTCCGTTCCACTCGCCGGTCTCGTAATTGTAAACGCCGTACTTGCCATCCGGAACGAGCTCGATCTTGTAGCCGAAGCCCACCATGTGAGCTATCTCCTTGAGCAGATCGATGCAGAAGCCCTCGTAACGTGCGTTCCCGCTGAAATTCCCTCTGTTCTTCACCATAACGTATGGCTGCTCCTATGGGGACCACAAAAAGGAGGCTACTACCTATCCTCTTCTTCCACTTCCTCTTCTTTTTTCCCCTTTTTCCGACCTCTCCTTCTACATTATTTTATTCGTATACGTTTCCTGCTACCCTTAACCCCTTCTCCTAGCCTTTTCAACCCTATCCTTCTAGCGCTTTCTTTCGTTCTCTTTTTATTTTGATATCGATCCTCTTTTTCTCCGTTCCTCTTTCGGTTTCGGTACACTGGATTTCTACTAGATTTTTTTTTCTTAGCCTTTCACCCATCCCTTACTGTCATCTCGATAATCGTATCTAACGATAATCGTAAGATATAATAAATATATAAAAGTGAAAATTTATTTTTTTTTCAATTTATTTCAGTTTCAAAGTTTATTTATTTGTTATATCTTTCACAGATTTGCACTCAAATTTTCTGAATAATTGTCACGCGAGGAAAAGAATTATGATTTCAATTATCGATTATCAAATTGTTTCACGTGCCTCGATCAATTCTGATCGATATTTACCGCAAATGTACGACCTCGTACTCAGCGTCATTCGATGCTGATTACTGGCTAAATGGATTACTACTCGATAGACTATTACCACGAGAACTCCCTCGAGACAATGTATCTACTATGTACGTGGAAGTTCGTCTATGAGAACTTGGGTTGCAAGAACGAGGGTTGCGCTACCCTCGTTTTCATCGTCGTTCCGCTTGTTTTAAAGAAATTTTCGACTAAAGCAATTCAAAAAAATATATCGAGTGACGGTTATTTTATATATTATGTATACAAAGTATTGTATAAATAAAAATTAATTTATAATTATGATTTTTTAACGAAAGCTATATATAGAGAATTGATATAGAAGATAAAACAGATAGAAGAGAATTGAGGTTTATCAAATTATATGTATTTTATGATTAGATGAAGGTAAAATGAGACAACACAGTGGCAGAGATAGAGCTGTTTCATCTATCATCCTCTCTTCATTTAAAATTTAACATTTTTTTTTATAATTTAATTTTTTATACACCAACCTATGCGTTTGTTTCAACCTCTAAAATCAATCCTTTCACGAATATACCTATGAATAACATTAACATCCCGTATATCTTATGAGAGAACGAAGACGAATCGATTATACGGTGTATGAAATATTGCTTGCTTTGCCCAAATTTGGCCAAAGTTTATCGTTTCTTAAACTCGAAAAACGAAAGAAGAATGATAGCCGCGCATAGATTTCAATGTAGATACGTGTTCGTTGAGACACGAAAAAAAGATGGAGGCAATTCGCGGTGGTGAAGTGGTTCGCGGTCGAGTAATTGGAAAATCCAATTCATTTAAGTTTAATTTAAGTTCACCGCTGGATAGAGTGTTTCGGTAAACGGGTGTGAGGCGTGCTCGCACATCGAAGCTTCGGTATTCCCCGAATTGCAAATTAGTCGTGTGTGTTCGCGGCTTAATCACGTCAACTTGCAGTATTTCGAAAGAGGAACAGAGAAAGGATGAGTTCGTGAAATTTCGATAGACGATCGTTGACTAAATTCTTGATTAACTTTTTAGCCGTTGGTTTATCTATTGTGTGACTATAAATCAGAATCGGGTATATTTATTGAGAAATAAAAATAAGAAACAGAGAAATGAATTAATTGATTCGAATAAAATAAAAAAATAAAGATTTCGAATAAATTTTAAAGTATTATTTTCAAATGATCTCATAATCGGTTTAACAAGTGAAAAAACTAAAACAAATTTTTTATTCGAATAAGAATTTATATTGTTAATACCCAATCCTGTTAATTTGTTAATCCCTTGCAGACATTTTACTAAAATATTTAAAAAATACATAATAGATATTGTAGAATTAAATTAACATCTGCAATTCTTAAATTTTTTTCTCACTTTTTTCATTATTCTAAATTTTTAAAAACTTGTAATAGCTCTACAATTTAAAAAATCTTCGAATGCAGCTTTTAAATTTTTTCCTTTAAAAAAAGGGTATTAAATGCGTACAATTTTCTTTTTCTATGATTATTTGTACATATTTGTCCGCAGAGGATTAATCAAACATATTTCTATTACGAATGAAATGTCTGTCTTGGTTCACAATGTTTCTCACTTACACGAATATCAATTATGATCCACGATTTATGGGCTTTATTACACGTCACGTAGACACTAGCGAATAATTAACGTATATCGTGATTTATCTTCGACTTATCAGTCAAATTGCTATAAGTCGAGCGGATGATCGATCACGATGATTTAGAGATCTTGGTCAAATCAAGAGTCGTCGAAAAAAATGAAATATCTATTACGCTATTCAACGATTACATTTAAATTCGACGTAGAAAAGTGTCTGGTGAACGAAAGTACTTTTGGTCTTCCATGTTCTATGTATCTTTCTTGCGAGGTGATTTTAATCGAACTCGAGAAGAAAAAAGGAGAAAAAAAAGAAAAAAGAAAAACGCTTCCACAAATTATACGATAAATTTTCATCTTGAAACTTGTCAATCTTCACTGTGTAGCAATTATTCCACCCTTGAATCCTATCCAGGCTTGAAAAGTGTTCACACGTTTGCGTCCATTTGTGTAGAATTGTACTCGATTACTCATTTTATCTATATATTTGTGTTTACAACAAACCTAAACCTAATTCACGTACAGTGCATCTATATATATATATTCATAAATCCTTAAACTTTAGTGTCTAGCCTAATGTATCTAAGGTGCGTTTTGTGTTTGTTCACGACACAAAAAGATATCCTTCGACTAACACATAAAAGTGTAAGTGTAAATGTGTTCTAATTCGAGAAAAAAAAATATATATATATATATATATATATAATTCTAGATTTAGTTTCGTGGAAATAGAGACAAAAGACTTGTGACAAAAACATGTGTTTCTATATTAACAGTTATTCTAAGTGGAGAAAACCACGCGTATGGGCGAAAAAGTGGGTGTGAGAATGAGATAGAGAGACACAAAGAAAGAAATAGATAGATAGAGAGAGAGAAAGATAGAAAGAAAGAGAGAGAGAGAGAGAGATAAGAGTGAGATGAGAGAAATTAAACAAACCAAATCATACATGTCGCATGAGCTCTCTGACGATGCCGTTCCATTCCCCGGTTTCCGGATCTTTCGCGCCGTACTTCCTGTCCGGTACCAGCTCCAATCTGTATGAGAAGCCGACCTCCCTCGCCACCGCCTCCAGTAGGTCGACGCAAAAACCGTAAAACCGCGCGTTCCCCGTGTAGTTTTTTTCGTAGTGCATCATCACGTACGGAATTTCCTGTGTCGCAACGGGTGTCCATGCAAACAACGGAACACGCTGTCAGATCTGGACGATACACGAAAATTTTGCGCAGGGGCGGCTACACGTTTCCCTTTATCCTAATCGCTCTCGAGAGGCCTCTTTTTCTTTTTTTTTCGAATAGGGGAGATTCGAAACGATGACTATTTTAATTCGGATACGATTCCATTTTTTCTTTTTTTTTTAGAAAATTTTAACAAAATAAAATATTTGCAAGATCGATATCGTTCTATTTTCAGAAAATTTTTGGATTTCTTTTTATCGACATTGGAGAGATTCGTAATGATGTTCGACGGTTGGAATCATTTTTAATTCGGATAATTTGGGAAATTCGTCAATCATTTATTTGGATAAGATTTTTCCTGTTCTTGAAAATTTGAAGAAAAAAAAAAATAGAAAAAAATTTAAATGGAACTTTAAGAAACCTTGAGAAACTATAATTTTCCATAGTCTATATACCACGATAATTTTAGTTTCCACTCGGTGATTTCCGTTCCACTCGCAGAAGGAAATGGCCCTCGGCTAAGAATTCCTCGGCCCAGACTACAACATCTGCCGGTTATTCGATCGTTAACGATTTCACGACTCGTCGATGCAGTCGATTTTATTCCACGGATGCGTGGAGATTTTATACCATTTCACCCTCCACGGAATTACGTGTTACGTTACTACGGATACCGGACATAAAGTACGAGATTCCGCTACGCGAACGATGCAATCGGCGTTTATTACTTCGTGGACCCATAAGTTTTCTTTTCCCCCAACCAATGGATGATACTCCTTAGCTGCTCGTATTCGAGGTCTTTTAGAGTGACGTGTTATAGCTCGTGTGCCTGAAATGTCTGGGTCTGAATTGTAAAATGAGTCGATCATCGATATCTCCACGATCGTTCGACTTGGACTTTTTATATTATCCTGTTGTTATCGTGGGATTTCGCGAGAGAAAATTGAACGAAAGACACAAAGATAGAATTGTATTATTAAAGAATAGAAAACGCGGTTTGCCTTTTGATGGTAGAAATTGATTTTATACAGGGATGAATATGACGTTTAGAAGAAGGAGATAAGTGTATGGTTGGCGACTCACCAATATAGTGATGACGAGGAGGGTGACATTCGCTGCTCCTGGCTCGAAGAAAGCCGCGGTGTCGGTCACGTTCACACCGATGCCTGGACGCCATTCACCGACCTGTTTCAATTCCCATTTTAATTCTATGAATAAATATTAGGGTGAAAAGAAAAACATATATATATAAAAAGAAAAAAATGGTAAATAAAAATAATATCTATACAATAATATTCAAATTTTGAATTTCTGATGAGAAAATTTATTAATTTAACATTATCTTTTTGCACATTAAATATCGAGAATCACAATCAAATTTCTTTCTATTATTTATTATTAAAAAAAGAAATTATTCTTTTGCATTTTGATTTTTATTTTTTCGTTCCACCCTAATGAATATTCTAAAAAGTACCTTAACAAGCGAATGTTGCTTCAACTTCAAAAGGTCCAATTTGAACTGAATTCTCCGCCCTTCTTTGAATTCGATAGGGCCAGAAATACCCTTCATCTCGACCTGGAAGAACGTAGAGAATACCACGGTCATTTTCCAACGACAATTTCCACTTCCCTGTTGTATTGTCATTTTGCAGAAAATATAGTTCCAAATAACAGCCCTTCAACCGAGCTATATATATATATATACGGCGTAACTTTCAACCCCTAAAAAGTTTCAGATCTCAGAGGTGCAAGTTCCAAGGAAATTTCATCCAAAACTTCAACTCGAGGAAGTCCAAATAAAAATACGAGACTCTGCTCTTGAAAGAGTAAGTTCGAAAGAAAAAAAAAAAAAAAAAAAAAAGAAAATCTTTTCACGATCGTTGAATCATAATTGCGCATTTGTATCCATGACCCTCGAGGAGAAAAAACGAAAAATAAAATAAAATAAAAAAAGAAGCCGAGTCAGAGAAGGAAGAGATTAAAAAGTCCAACGGGATGAAAGCAACTCAGCTCGTTTCTCAAATTTATGCGCCTCACGATTCCCTGGATGACAGGGCACGAGTTTGTAACCCCTCACTTTTTCAAAATATCTCCCGGAGGAGGGTAAAAAGGAATCTCGGATCAAGCGTTTGGGACGGTTTCCGCTCGGGCTTGCTCGAGAGCAAGCGGTCTAACGACTTTTCATCTTCGAAGGATTCGTCGCAATAACGACAACTTTTTAAGCAGAGAAACTCTTAACTCGTATATGAAAGCAACCACCGATCTCTTTCTATCACCGAACGGTGTTATGCAAATTAATCTTTAGAGGAAGAGTTACTATGGTTGAACGTTGACAGAAATTTGGTATAATTAATAATTACAAATTCGTGTATACAATTGACACAAAAGTGCTGGTCGTGTTGAATATTTCATTTTATAAATATAATTATAAATATTAATATAATGAGATAAGTTGTGATAAGAAAAGAATAAATACTAATTAGAAGAATTAATTAATTCACCAATAAGCATTTTCTTATTAATGAATATACACACCATTTTATATATATATATATATTTAATTAGAACAAAATCTAATTAATTTATAATGTCGCATCTTGATCCTTTAAAAATTATAAGTAAAAAAGCAATGAAATAATTGTGGGTTCTCGAAGAAAATTCGAGGTTCTTCTGTGATTTAGTTGTTTCAGTTTGGAGAAATTTATAGGTGAATTTCTTTCCGGTTTTTTCGGAAAATGGTCGCGATAATTTTCGCCTCGAGAGAGTAAGAAACGAAGAATGAAGCGACACAATGATGCATAACTGCAATTTAACAGTTTTGCCACCGGTTTATTATCTGGGAGATAGGGACGAGCAAAGAACGTAGTGACGAGAACGTTAATTAACATCTCCAACGTTTCTTTCACTGGTTTTACAAAACCTGTATCGATATTGCATGGCGAATTTCGAATATCTTGAATTTTTCTTTATATTTCCTTTTTTTATTCTAATGAAAAAACCTAGATTGCTAGGTAAAAGAAAAAGATAATTTATTTTCTTTTAATCTTTGCGTTCATCTTCGAATTTAATTTCTTTACAATCTCTTATTTCGTTTATTCTTCATTTATTCCCTTTTCTTTTCTTACACTTCTCTCTTCTTATCTACTCTTCATATTTACATTTTACTCATTTTTTAATTCATCTCCATCATGTTTATTCCAAAGCCGATTAACATAGAATTAAACAACGAACACGATAGCCTCAGGTTTCGTTTACCTTTTATTAAAATACTCCGAATATCTCAAAATTGGAAGTATTACGAGATTACAGACTCATGGAAAAACTTACGACAGGGGATTTGTTTACTCCCTCTCGACACCCTATCAGCCATCATCACAGATTGCATAAAACGAAATAGATTCCCTCTTCCTTTTCATCCTCTTTGAATCCATTCGTGGAATAAGCGGTTGAAGAGTTGGAAAAAGAACCGAGAAACTTCTTAATATCGCGGAACCAATGGAATCGATTAAATAAAGCAATGGAAGAAAGGTAATGCATCGACGAGTACGTCTCTTGAGCCAATAATTCCGTGAAATTTCTCCAAGATTATTGTGAACTTTCTCCTGTCCCGTTAACCGGGAACGAGCGTTATTAAGTTTTGATTTTTATGGAGGCCTTCGCGCTGAAAGGAACAACAGCCTCGATAGGAGGATAGGAAACGAGGCGAGAACAGTTCCATTCTACCGGATAAAGGGAATTTACAGCGATATCGAATTTCTTCTTCTTCTTCTTTTTTTTCTCATCCCTTAACAGAGAAGCAAAATAATCTCGTTCTACACACGACGTCCTATTATTTTATCGGGGGAATTATGAGAAATGATACGCGATAGTTAGTTTTCATTTTATTTTTCTCTTCTTATTTTTCTGGAAATATATTTTAGATAAATTAAGGAAATAAAAATTATGAAAATAGTTAAAAATATCATTACTGGTAATATACGCGTGGATAAGGAATTAATTTTTATTTTATTTTCCCTTCGCCCTTGTTAAAAGATGGATTCAGGGACATATTATGATAAATTGAGGAAAGAAATTACGAAACTGTTGAAAATCTTGTTATCACGCTGACGTGGTTATATTGATTGGTGGAATCAGATATGTCGAAGATACGTAAACTTGGATTGTAAAATTGAGTTATGTACGTTTCTTCAAGACGTATCGAAGGTTTCATGCTATGGTTGAAAAAGATTGGTAACTTTCACCGCTTCTGCAGCTGACGTTTGTTTGGCGGAGATATTTCCGTCAGTTTTCGGGAATCGTGAAATTGGTGGATATTTATATAAAAAGAGAGAAAAAAATAAAGTTAAATTCTTTGAAGTCATTGAAAAAATGTTTAAATAAAATCTTTTTTTGTTTTTATACAGGATAGATTATTTATTTACTAGATTATAATTATTAATGATAAAAATTTACTTTTGAAATTTTTCTATGTATTTTTTTTTTAAAGATTAATAAGCTTAGATTTTTATGATGCTGTATAAAAAAGCGAAAGAAATAGAAAAATAAAGTTTCTTCGAAAAATTTTTAATTTGTTCATCAACAATGAAAGATTAAAAAAAAAAATAATGAAGATTTTCACGCCAATTTGTTCCACCTTGTATAAATATTTTATTCAACAAATAAATTACTTGAAAATTCAAATGATTAATTAATTAATCTACGAGAAAGTTTAACGAAGCTCGAAATTGTTTAAATCAATGGAAGCAATCATTATAAATTATTCTGGCATTTTTCTAAAGTATTTCACAGATCAGGATTAGATTGGTAACTCGCTAATTTGAATATTCGCCAGGCGGGATTGTATCTCTAGGGAGCGACGATGCTTGGATCGACTTGCACACGGAGCATAATCATATGCAGCTATTTCGACGTTTCAATTTCGAGGCATAGAGATTAGCGAATTCCCTCGCGATCCATTTGTCGATTAATAATAATTACAAGCGTATCGAGCGTTCCACAATGCACCTCGGTTAATTAAGTAAATTTCGAATGAAATTTCGAAAAAAAAATCGAGAATGTAAGAAAAAAAAAAAAAAAAAGAAAAAACTATTTTGCAATAATATTAGTTGCTTCAATTCTTTCGAAAAATTATTCGTTATTTACATTTTTCGATTGCTTTACGAAAATAACGAAATATTATTTTCTTGTTATTTACCTGAAATTGATGAAAAATGAAAAAAAGAGAAAAGAATGGAAGAAAATAAAGAGAGTAAAATAAATGAAAATATTGTTTGCAATGAATGTGAGAAAAGACATGAGAAAAGAGAGAGAAAAAAAAGAGAAGTTCTCGACCAACCAGGAAATAAGGCCTTAAATCGCGAAAACCGGAAGCGAGTTTGTGGCATGAAACAGCAGCCAAGGCGACACGCCGCGTCCGTAAATTAATGGATGATCTTTGTTCCAGTTTAAGGTGTACAAGTTGGATCTAAGTTGCTCTTCAACGACAGATAACTTCTGGCATTTTGACCAAGAAAATGCTCATTAAGTCCAGTCAGTATAAGAGGAGGATTAAAAGAGCAATAACTATATCGCATCTATTGAATTAATCCGATCATTTATATGACAAATTAATTTCTGCCTTTTTTAGACAAATAATTTTTACCGTTTCTAATAAAAATTTAATTGATTTGTATACCTTAGAAGAAAAATAAATAAACTGTTTTTGACTTTGCTTTTAATTATTGATAATTAAAAATGAATGAGAATATCGTGCGAGCAAACTTCGATGAAATCCTATTAAAATTAGAAAAACTTTGAACCATTGTAACTTTCAAGATAATAACTTCCGGTCAACAAGTGAGCGATCGTTAGAAGCGCGGAATCTTCCCCTTTAAAACGCTTTTTCATTTATTCCAATCCAATTTCCGGTTCTCGAGATATCGTCGTGTAAAGAGAAAGTAATTTTTAATCATTTACCTAAAACATGATTAAACTCTATTAAAATTAGCAAAACTTTGAATCGCTGTAATTCCGAAGATATTGACTTCCGGTCAACGAGTGAGCGATCGTTAGAAGCGCGGAACCTTCCCCTTTAAAATGCTTTTTCGTTTATCCCGATCCGACTTCCGGTTCTCGAGATATCGTCGTGTAAAGAGAAGGATAATTTTTAATCGTTTAGTATCTCTTTCCTTGTCGCTTACTCGGACCTCTCGCTCGCACCTCGTGTCACTGACCTATTCTAAGCTCCAGACAAGTGGCAGACGTAATTCCTGGAAGAGCGTAGTACGCGTTTCTAGGAAAAAAATGTAGGTCAGGGACCATTCTAAACTTCTGCACTGTGTAAACGCTATGGACACTTTAAATCCTTATATCTCGGCAACCAATTGAGATATCGAGATAAATCAAAAAGGGAATTCAATGGTATGATTTTCTCTATTTCTTGAGTGGATTTTGATCATAAAATTTTTAATTTATTCTCACGATTTTTGTACAAAAATTTAACAAAAATTTAATTTTCACAAGATTAACGAATAAAAAATGTGTTAAATCAATTTTACAGAATTAAATCATGCCAATTTTTTTGTTTTTATCCTTCTT